TAAAAGTATAAAATGCCAGACTAATATTAGCCTAGTTTGAAGATCAGAGAAGTTAAGTGAAATTAAAAGAAAAATAGCAGGAAAATACTGAAAAGGAGTGTCAAATACTTCGTTTTGATTTGTTAAAGTTTAAATGTCAAGGAAACGAGCCTTCATCGTAACAAAATGTTTTATATATAGTAGGGTGTTTGGGCAGAACGTTCAATGTAGCCTACGAGGCAGTTAAAATAAACCTGTTTTCACAACACGTTTCGTCTCCCCTTCAGTCAGTTAGGCCTACTATTGTCAGTGATCCAGGTTGGAGGGGCTGTCAGTGAACGGTTGACATGGAAACAATGGGATGGGACATTAAACCGAGGCCCCGCATGCTTTAGGCTGCGAAAGATCCCATCGAAAAAGAGAAGGCTAATGCCACTGTCCATGCAAAATTGCCCTTCCTCATTAGCCCAAAGGTGCAGAAGAGTAGGACGTAAAACTCCATTCATTTCATTTTATTTTAACACATGTATCACTGATATTGAACATAGTGCCCAAAGTCCCAAACAGATATTTGAATGTATCTTTTTATAAGCCAGTGAAATGTGGACATGTGTTCTGCCACTCCTCAAGACTGTCAGGAACCCAGGATAAAAGACTTCGAGACACAAAGACCAATAAATAAAGTGAGGTCTTCTAGTTTTGCTAAAAACATTGTAGATCTAAATGATACAAATAAAGGGCAACTTTATAAACACAAATGGGTGTCAGTAATATGCCCACATGCCATATAATCATTTTCATTTCGGCAGTATGACACTGTATGTTCAAGATGTTAAAATGCAAGGTGACTTTTTGCAAATTGGTGTCAGTGATATGTCCAAAATGGTTCATGACAAGCGGTCGGAGCCCTGCAATAGATTGATCAAAGCTACTTTTCCTTTCCTAAAAAGTTTAGCGGAATTGCAAGACAAACAGACGCCTGACTGAAAAATTGGTATGGTGCAAATCAGGCCGAGGGGCAAGTAATATATCTGGAGGGGCAAGTAATATATCTGGAGGGGCAAGTAATATATCCGGAGGGCTCCCTTGTAGCTACGGGCCTGGTATAAATGGATGATAACAGAGTCCCCGAAACCAATAAATCTTTTTAGAAATTGTCTCTACGTTCCTCTTTACAACAGTAGCCCGAGCCCGCGGGTTAGAGGCGAAATGTACCAACCGTCAATAGTTGTATATTTTCAAAATATTTCAACAAAAGAAAATATTCCAAATATACTTTAAAGTAGCCGAATCGGCAGTAAGATGATAGTTTTTCTACCATTCCACGAATTTTACATGTTCTGCTTTTAATTTCTGTATTTTAACATATTTATTATTTTGGAGAGTCTGGACTGAATTTCATCCCAAGTTTTTGCGATATTGAATTATTTTGGCCAATGTGGTCAGAATTTTGGTCAACTTCCGTGCCGATTAGGTTTATTTTGGTTCATGTGGTCCGAGTTTTGTCCGATTTCCGCTGGCTAGGGTTTATTTAGAAAAGGAAATATCTTCGATGGACGAATGTGAACAGCAGTATTTCTCTTGTATAAACCCCACAGGATATCTAATTCGTTAAATTTTTATTGTTTTATTGTTTTACAGTGGCTTGACAGTTGAAATTCAAACTTTTTTTTTTCACGAAGTATTGTCTTAATTATACAGAAGGTTATTATCAGGCCTAAGCATTGTTCCCGTATTTGTTCCAACAAGTTGAATGTAATACAAATGCGTACAAGCAAGACAATTCCGTCAACCAAAAATCTCGTCTAGTTAACTGATATCACAGACTAGGTAGTTGTTGGTTGATGCCAAGTTAACGTTCGCTTCCAGCTACCTGATATCGCAGACTAGGTAGTTGTTGGTAGATGACAAGTTAACATCCACTTCCAGCTAACTGATATCACAGACTAGGTAGTTGTTGGTTGATGCCAAGTTAACACCCACTTCTAGTAGATACTGATATCACAGACTAGGTAGTTGTTGGTTGATGCCAAGTTAACGTTCGCCTACAGCTAACTGATATCGCAGACTAGGTAGTTGTTGGTAGATGACAAGTTAACATCCACTTCCAGCTAACTGATATCACAGACTAGGTAGTTGTTGGTAGATGACAAGTTAACGTTCGCTTCCAGCTATCTGATATCACAGACTAGGTAGTTGTTGGTAGAAGACAAGTTAACGTTCGCTTCCAGCTAACTGATATCACAGACTAGGTAGTTGTTGGTAGAAGACAAGTTAACATCCGCTTCCAGCTAACTGATATCACAGACTAGGTAGTTGTTTGTAGATGACAAGTTAACTTCCACTTCTAGTAGATACTGATATCACAGACTAGGTAGTTGCTTGTAGATGACAAGTTAGTATCCGCGTCTAGTTAACTGATATCACAGACTAGGTAGTTGTTGGTAGATGACAAGTTAACGTTCACTTCCAGCTAACTGATATCACAGACTAGGTAGTTGTTGGTAGATGACAAGTTAACATCCACTTCCAGCTAACTGATATCACAGATTAGGTAGTTGTTGGTAGATGACAAGTTAACATCCACTTCCAGCTAACTGATAACACAGACTAAGTAGTTGTTGGTAGATGACAAGTTGACATCCGCTTCCAGCTAACTGATATCACAGACTAGGTAGTTGTTGGTAGATGACAAGTTAACGTCTGCTTCCAGCTAACTGATATCACAGACTAGGTAGTTGTTGGTAGATGACAAGTTAACGTCTGCTTCCAGCTAACTGATATCACAGACTAGGTAGTTGTTGGTAGATGACAAGTTAACGTTCGCTTCTAGATAACTGATATCACAGACTAGGTAGTTGTTGGTAGAAGACAAGTTAACATCCACTTCTAGATAACTGATATCACAGTCTAGGTAGCTCTTGGTAGTCGTAGTAGTTGGGTTGGTTCAAATTGGTTGGATGATTCTGTGCTGTTGGTTTGGTAGTTACGTTGTTGATAGCTTATATCGGCCTGGAAGGATTTCCTCACTTCCGGTAAGCTAATAACGATCCAGCGAACCAGCTATCTCGGGCTCTATATTCTTTCATTTAATAGTGTCAAGTCCTAAACCCTAAAGCAAACTTTTTATACAATCATATTTCATTAAAAAAAATCATTCATTTTAAAGTAGGCTCCAAACCATCCCAGCAATATAGGACCTATTTCAATGAGAAAATTCACAGGCCTGGGGCTTTATTCTCCAAAACTTAACTCAAATAAATTCCAGATTTTAAGAAATACAGTAATCTAATGCATAACAAACTAAATTTAAGATCAATTTTAATGATTGACCAATCAGAAGACTGGAACACTAAAATAATTTTAAGTTTTCAATAATAAGGCCCCTGAGCGATACGAGAGTAAACCACCCCACTATCAATATTTCATTGAAAATGAAAATAATCTTATTGTTACATCTGTTGTCAGGCTGCCATCTTGTTTTCTACAAATCATTCAATTTATTGAGGGCGTGATCAAGAGAATACGCCACCTCGGGTTAAAATCCACAGGGAGAGAATGTCCGTCCAAAACATATGGTGAGAACAAACTTGGTGCCTAAATGGTGAAAATTCCGGAAATATTTTGTTGATTCAAGACTGTTACAGATGTAGATTGGAGTGAAGTAACCCCGCCATCTTGAAAAAATGGCGGCCTTAGTAACAGATGGTAATCAGAATTTCCTGCGTTCAACTTCAACTTTTCCATCAAAAGTCAGCGAAATAAAACAAACAAATTAGGAAAATATGTTCTCGCCTTTTCCTCTTCATTTATTTTTCTATGAGTTTGTGTTGGGGTTTTGTTTTGGTAGTTAATTCCAACCAGTTTTCATCGTGTTGTTTTAACAGATTGTTGATGGCTTTAAAAACCGCCCTAAATTTACTTTCTCGGTTCCGTTTCACTTGATTAGAATATAACGAGAATTTATCTGTTATGATGGTAGAAAATAATAGGGATTTTTCATAAAAGCTAATTACACGTATATTGTTAACTTTAAAGAGATTGTAAAGATGTTTTCTAAAATTTGTTATGTGTATCGGGGACACTGACAGCATCAATTTGCACCATTCCAATTTTCAGTAAGACATCTGTGGTAATCTCTATTTTAACATATTAACCTTAATATTCATGAACATTGCTTTAACCCTGTGCCAGTGCCTTCTGTTGGACAGTAACTTGTTACCTCAGTGACGTCATCAAACATGTAAAATTATAAAAAACCTTTAACTATCCCTTTAAAATTTTTACCTAACACAAGGTGGATTAGACCAAAGCTTAGGATTCACAGAACAAGAGGACAGACAACTCTATCGTACAAACCTCCGGCAGAATTTT